GGTGAGGGAGGGGCAGGGCCCGGAGAGGAGGCCTGGGGATCGCCGGGTGTGGGGCGCTGGTGACCGGCCACCCCAGGAGGTGTGCTGGGGAGGCGGCAGGGGACCCTGCGACCCCGGGGAGCGGAGCTGTTCTGTGCCGGGGCTGCGTGCGGCGGGGAGCGGCTGGGAGGGACCCCGTGCGCAGCGTCCTCGGGGCCGGCTGCGGGCGTCTGTGTCCGGCTGCCGCCCTCACCCTCTCACCCTCCCTCACGCCCGGCTGCTCTGAGTGGGGTCAGCTTTGTCTGTTACATCCTGTCCAGTCCTGGCGGAGCTCCAGCGGGGAGCACTGCCACAAAAAGAGAGGTTTGCTTCTTCCCAAGCCCCAGACTGTTGCTGCTCTCCAAGCCCTCGTTTGGGCTGTTACCCATGCGTGGCCACATCAGTTCTTGTCCTGGCTCTGGGGTGCCAGTGCAAAGATCGAGGTAACGAGCTCCTGCCAGACTGTCCACAGCTGCTCACCTGTCCCTGCGATAGCTTTCCCTTTGCAGGAGCAGGATGCTGGGCCGTTCTGTCACTGACAGCTGCTTAATGCTAACGGGCTGCTTGAGTCAGAGCTGTGAGAAGGAGAGGAGGGCTTCTGTTTTCCAAGACAGGTCCCTAATCACTCCCCTGCCCAGGCTTCACAGAGCGCTCAGCCATCTGGGCAGCTCCTTGCAGAAGGGAATTGGTCAGGAGCAGGTTAATGTGGAAACAAACTGTGTCTTTGGCTTTAGCTTCCCTTTGACCTTTTACTCTCAGCCCTGCAAGCTCCCGAGTTGAAAAGTGGCAGGGCACAGGCTGCTTTCTGCTGTGAAAGTTCTCCTGAAGGTTTGTCCTTCGGGTTCCCGTATCCAAGAAAATTCCATCAGAGTGGCAGAACTGGAGCTCCCAGGCTAGGCAGCACTGCTGGTAGGCTCATCCTTTTGCCAGAGATCCTGCATTTTTTGATTGAACAGCTGTGAGGAATATTACTTTTATTTCCTAAAACCACAGAACTTGTTTAACAGTGTTCTGGAAGAATGTGCTTTGCTTCAGGTGCATACAAATACACGCAAATACATAGAGATAATTAACTGCAGTTTGAGAGGGTATCGTCTCTTGTCACGTGGAAAAACAAATAACGTAATGTGTGCCTGGACATTTGCAATGTGCTAAATCATCTTTATAACTGAGGGCTATTTTTTTTTTCTCTTCCTCAGCAAAAGAACATGAGTTCAGCA